CTATAAATTTTATTCAAGGAGCTAATTACCTTTGTAAAGGTGTTCTTTTAAGAAGGTCGGGGTTTCCTTTGCTTTGTTTCTATTGATGTTTTCACAGAAGTATTATGGAACAAACCAACTGCTACTTCTTTTCCCAGTGTTGAAGGGCACAGACCACTCCTCCTGTGTGGGGGGGATACTCCATCCAGTTGTTGCACTTGGACATGCTGTAACTCTGACACCTTGGTAGATTCACTGCTACTGTCTTGCCTCACTTCTACTCATGTTACAATATGTATTTCCTATTAAATCCATTATGTTTTCTTGGCAATTTGTTCTCTGTTTCCTTGTGGGGTTTAGACAGGAATAGTTTTGGCGAGTGTCTTTTTTGCCACAAAGGTTCTGGAAGTATCTGCTACAACAGCAAATATTTGTAAGCAAAGTAGAAATTCATTAGTACAGCTTTAGGAAACTGTTAAAGCAGCTGAGAGCTGCACCACAACTGTATTTTACCACATAATGAAGGCTAAAAGCACATTCACCTGAAGGAGCAAATTATTGTAAGGCTCTAGTAACACAATGTAAACTCTTCTGTATTTTAACTTCCTTTTTTGTACTTCCTGAATATTGTGTGTCCAGCAGTGACATTGTGACGGTGAATTAATTGATTTAAGGCACAGAAATGGATCACATTTCTGGAGCTGCAAGACACTTAAGACTTCTTGGCTATCTTCCCACTTTTACCCCCCACACTGAGTACAATGAATTTAAAAAAAAAAAGAAGGTTTCTTCTCAATGAGAAACTTTGCATTTGTGTGTTCAGGACACAAAAATCACCTGATATGCAGATAGCTCTTGCAGTGTAATAAATGTTTGCCTGTAAAATTAGGTGTGAAGGTTAACCTTGGTATCAGCAATTCTTGTCCCTCGTAAGAACATTCTGCCTTTTCAGTCTGGGATTGAGTTAACCTGTTACAAGGGTTGAAAGGTCTGTGCCTTCTTATTATATTCTCTCTTACTGAAACAAACTCAAGCCGCTCAAAATTACAGAGCGTTTGCAGCACTGTAAACTGCACAAATTTCCAGCCATTGCTTCACTGCATGAAGTGTAGTCAGATTACTAGTGGTGAAATATTGTAGTGATGAATTCCCAAGCTTATGAATGTTTTGAGACTTTTTTTAGTCTTCTCTTGGGCTGGTCCTGAGAGCGTGTACAGGTTTGTCTGTATTGTTGGTTTGTAGATGCTAATGAGGAAAACCAGGCTTTTGTTCTCTCCTTTTTGTTTGAATTGTTACACTCCCATATAGTGCATAGAATGCAAATAAAGAAATGTTGATTTGACATAATGTAAACAGCCTTTTCAGCCTAAGCATTCATAATAAACTTTTATAGTGTAATAACATGCTAAATCACTACCAGTCTGATGTATTGTGAAAAAAAAAAAAAAAAAAAGAAAAGGTGTAAACATTTTATTAATAAAAAGCTTTGTTTATAAATGTGCTGGCTTTTTTTATAAATGCTTCCAAAATTCTCAACATCTTAAAAAATAGTCTCTATAGCAATAGGGTTATAGAAGAGGAACGTCAGGAATAGCTTTTAAAATAGCATTTACAAACTATTCAGATAGCTGTTTTCCAAAAGTACTGACTACTGGTGGTTCAGAGACTGGAGCTTTTCCCTGGTTTATGTATACACAGACAAAGGCAGGAGACGATCTTGTGCAAAGAAGGGATGGGGGGCAACAGCAGAGAGAATGCAGCTTTTGTGGAACACTTCCTTTCTTTGCAGCATCATGTCTGAGAAACTGCAGGCCACACACAGTCCTGTCAGCCAGGGCAAGGCCTGACAAATTCTGCCAGGGCCAAGTTATTTAATACACTGCTTTTTACCTTAGGCTGCATGAAACGTAAAATTCTCGGCTGCTTAGGCCAGGTTTCTGTCAATCAAAACCGTAAAGTGCTTTTAATATCTGCGCAGTGTCATGGGGGCCCGTCGTGCTGGGAAGGGATCCTTCTCAGTTGTTAATACAGCCAGCTGGTTGAGAGCTTGCTTTTTTTTAAACCACTGCTCTGGTGGTTATGTGGAGCCCAAAAATAGGGAGTTGGCTACAGTTACCTCGTTTGTCTTACGTGATGCTTAAAAGATGTGCTTTTGTTGTTGCAATCTGTGATGCAGGTCGAACATGTTGAGTTAATAACAGCCTTCAAAAGCTAAGTAAACAAAAAAGTCCTGTTTCTGAACTGCTGTTTCACCTGAAAGTGTTGGATACAAGTTTTTACTAAGCAAGTGGCTTCCTATGCAGGAAACACACACAGTCATCTTTTTAACAGACCTGGAATAATTTAAAATTACTGTTACCTGCTAGTTTGAAGTTCCCTCTTAGATGTGTGCAAACTGCTTTTTGAAGAGTGTCAAGTGTGTTTGTATAAGATGGCATGAATGTGCCAAAGAGAGCGTAAGAAAGGTAGACACAAGGAATGTGCTAAAATAGAGAGAAAGGCATATTTGCATGTGTTTGCATAGGGAATCTAGGGAACTAAATGCTAACCACCAGATTTGCACACACACAATGAGAATGTTTTACTTGGATCAAGTGTTTCATAGCTTTTAAGGTAGAAGTTTCTTAGCAGATAAAACTGTTCTTCAAGATTGTTGCAGTGCAAAGCTTTCCGATGCTCTCCAGCACTTCCCTGCAGTGTTCAGCCCGACTTTCTCCTGTTAATCAGAAACCCACCAGGGCAACAAGTTGCCTTCTTGTGGCTGCATTGTTACAGTGAGTGCTGGCTGGGTAACAAGTGTTGCAGGTGACCTCCCTGCACACCTATTTCAGTGAACCTCATCTGCACAACACTAAATGTACACACATTATTTACATGTAACAAAAACCTGACATTCACTGGGCTTCATAAATTTTCAGCTTAAACAATGCTGCGCTTTATAAAAACGTCACCCTGGATGAAAACGTGGGCGAGTCCTTCAAACACAAGCAGGTAAGTGCCAATTATGGTAAGATGATACATCCTGGCCAACCCTTTAAGATGTGGATCATCAAACGCTTCAGGGTGTTCTTTGTACTTCTTTCAGGAAAAGTAGAACTCGGAAAGGTCTGGGCAGCAACACTTAATAGTTGTTTATTTAGGGTTTTTTATTATGTGTGACTATATGTTGTGTAAAGCTTCCTCTCTTATTCCTCACCGTTAGCTTGCAATTAACTTGCAGATATGTATAAAGCTTGTCTTTTCTACTAATTACTGGTCTAAGAATGCCTGGCTCAGAGAGAGAATCTGTCTATGACCTAAAACCTAAGAGATTAGGTGAAAGAAGATAACCTTTCCACAATATGAGCCAAGAAAGCTCTACTCCAAAATATAACTGAAGTCAATTCTCTCCTGACTTGAGAACTAAAATGTTATAACATAACCTGTAGTTTAGGCTAAAAATTAACCCCCTTCAAGTAGAAAAAATAATAAGCCAAGAACATGCAAGGCTCCAAATCTAATTAACTAAGCAAAATAGAATAGCAAGGACCTGGAAAAGAAAATGCACTCCTCTATCCTGTTGTGTGACCATCCTTTCTCCAACAGAGAAGGAATTTAGGGAAGAAGAGCAGTATTTGAGTGTAATTCCCTGCATTGCTGAAGCTTCTAAAAATTGGTCCTGCTCTCCTGGCTGGAAGGAGTTCACAGGTTTCACTTGCATTATGCAAAACCAAGACTTATACTAAACACATGTATGGGTTTGGTTTGGTTTGGCATGCAATGAAAGACATCTTGGAACAAAAAAGATGAAATGGGATTGGAGGTGGTGAAGCAGATGAGCTGAAAACCAGGGATTGTCATGGACAGGAGCAGCTGAAGGGTGAGATGTAAACACTGCAGATGTGCTCAGTGTATGTCACTGTCCTGCTCAGGGGTGTTAATCTTAACATATTTTTATTCACCTCTCATCTGTTTGCTCATCAGCCCTGATTAGGATCCAACATAACTGGGTACTTTGAGTTGCTGTTCTTTGGAAGCTTTTTATCTCTGCAAATGGCATCTCCTCCAGAAGTCCTGTTTATAATATATAAAGGTCAGTTGCCTAATGAATACTTCTTGGTGTATAGAAATTACCAGTTTTTAAACCAGCATGTTTCTGCTGGTACCACGGGCACCCCAAACTCCTGCCTCTGACAGGTTACAGCAACGCTCCATAAACTCTTAGGAACTTTTCAAATGTTTAAAACAACCTGAGAAGAGAGGGGAGGGGAAAAAAAGCAAACTGTTACTGTAATTACACTGGCCTAAGGCTATCAATAAACCAAGCTGTAAATTTAAAACAAAATATTTTAAACCACTGGAGTAAAAGCCAAACAAAACTAAATGCAAATGAAACAATCCCCAAAACACAACAACCAAAAAACACCTCAAACCAAACAAACAAAAGCCCTAAGGAAAAACCCAAATGCAGTTAAGAAAAGAGAGGGAGGATGTCTTAAAATCGCTGAGACGACGTGAAATTCTGGTTTTATTTATTAAAAAGCGAGCGTTTCCTGTGCCTTGATGCCCGTTCCCAGGGCTGCCCTGGTCCCTCACCCGGACCTGCCCGGGGTGTCCCCGCACGGAGCAGCTTCTGGAGCTCCGGGAGCTCCTCCTTCTCCCGGGAGCGCTTCCCTTCCCCTGCCCGTGCCTGGCCGAAGGCGCTGGAAGCCAGGCAGGGCCGGCGATGTGCCCGAGGGCTGTCCCTGCAGCCCCGAGGCCATACGGCACACAGGCCTACGGTAACGCTGCTTCTCGGCAACGAGAGGATTCGAGTACAAATCACGACTTCCAGCGGCGATTAAACACCAATTAGACCCCTTTCTTCCCGCAAGGCTCCCGCAGCCGGAGCAGCGCCCGGGAGCGGAGGCGCGGAGCCTCCCCCGCGTCCCCTCACGGCGGGGCCGGGCCCCACGTCAGCCGCCGCCGCAGCCTCTCCGCGGGCCCCTCGGTGCTGCATCGTCCCGCCCTCCGCCCGCCCTGCCCGGGCAGCGTGTGCGCCGGAGCCGCCGCCCCACCGCGCCGCCCGCTGTCCCCGCTCCGCCGCCGGCACAGGGAGAAAACGAGCAGCCGGGACGGGGTGAACCAGAACCCCCGCGGAGGGTGAATCGGTGCCCGGCCGAGGGGTGAACAACCAGCCGGGCGCGCCCCCCGCCCGCCTTCCCTCCTCCCTCCCTTCCTCCCTCCCCTCTTCCTTCCCCTCCCTCCCCGTCCCTTCCTCTCTCCGCCTGGTGCCGCCACCGCCGAGGAGGAGGAGGAGGAGGAACATGGCGAAAGCGGAGCAGGTCCTCAGCCTCGAACCGCAGCACGAGCTCAAATTCAAAGGTAGGAGGCGGCCGCCGCCATCCCCCGCTCGCCGCCGCTCCCCGCGCCGGGCGGGCGGCGCGGCCGCGCTCCGGCCCCGCTCCCCGGCAGCCATTTTCCGGGGGCCGGGCACCGCCGGCAGATAAAATGTCCTTCAGCGCCGCGCCCTCGCCCCGCCGGGCCCCCTCAGCCCCGCGGGGGTCCCCCCGGGCCGCCCCCCCCCGGCTCCGCGGGCGGCTGCGGCAGCGCCCGGGGCGGCCCGGGGACACGGCGCGGGGGGGTCCCGGCCACCGCCTGCGCAGGGAACACCCGCTCCCCCCGCGCTGACCTTCCCCGGGGCAGCGCCCGGCAGGGCGGGGACCCCCCGGGGGAGCGCCCGGACCGGGGGGTTCCCCGGGCACCCGCTGCCCTGCCCGGGGGGTGTGAGCGGCCCCGGCCAGGGATCTGGTGCTCAATGTAGGACAGCGGTGGGACTGGGAACCCACTGTCACAAACCCTGGGAATGGGTAAAGGGCTCAGGCAAAAGGAAAGAGCAGGAAATTTTTGCCTCTGATGCTGTTTAAGTGCACTGTGTAGCTGTTCAATATAAAATCAGAGGGAGGGAGGATGTTGGGAATAAGGTGGTGAATGAGGATTTCTTCTTTAACATGTCCCAGTCACTGTGGGGTTGTTTCAACCTTGTCTCTCTCCAGCCTCTGGCCAGGTGCTGGGCAGCACTTCCTTTCTTTTTATGCTTATTATTATTGTTATTATAATTCAGCGAGCTATTTGGATAAATAATCTGCCTGCGTGAAAATCCATCCTTTTTCTAAATAAAAGTCTTGAATGGGTTTGGGCTTTCGCTGGCGCTGAAATTCCTGTCTTGCAGCGTGACAGCAGGGCTGTAATACAATATTCTGGGATTACAAATAAGCATTCAGCAAGTTTATTTATGCGACCAGAGTCAGAGGTGTTTTATGGCTTTGCTTTATTTTCTGGCAAACATGCTATTTTTTAAAAATAGGGATTCATTTGTTGGCTTCCGGCAAAAACAATACTCCTTTAAGAAAAAGCTTTCATGTACATTTTCAAAAATAGGAGAGGTCTGTAGCAGTTTTTATTAGTAAATATATTTGAACTAATATTATGAAATGGGTTTATCAGACAGCATGTTAATAAACACTGGGTGGAATGAATATATCTTTGTTGTAAGCTGAAGTTGTTATGGCAGCAGTATCAAACATGCTTAAGAAGGAAACTATTGTTGTTTTGACATTCTTTGTGTTAAGTATGAGCAGATGAAAATCAGCTCTTGTTCTGGATAAAGCTGCTTTCAGCAAACAAGCAAATCCAAGTTCAGGTGGGCAAAAAGTGGGGCCCTAATTGGCACTGACTTGGCTAATGAGACATAATTGTGGTTCAGGGCTTGTTTTTCTTCTTTCAGTTCAGCACAGGTAGGTATAGATCCAGTCAGACTCTTGTTTTTTTCTTGAAATAAAGATAGTTTGTCAGGCTGCCTTTCTTTCAGTTGAGGTTCTGGGCTAAACAACCAGTAGCCATTGAAGTTAAATCAACCAACCATAGTGACTTTGGTTGCCAGATATTTAGCCAGCAACGTATACTTCTTATAGCATAAAATGTTACTTGACTAACTGCACCTATTAAATGGCTTCGTTTCAAAGTACATTTAAATATTAATGTTCAGACAGAACATTCAGAATGCTGTGGGCAGCATTCATATGCTTTGGCAATACCTCTGCCTTACAGTCCTTTCTAGCAAGCAGGGCTGACCGCTGTCCTTCGTTCAGGAGAGCCCAAGTTGAAGTATTCATGAGGTAAATTCTGCTCTAAGCATTTCTTGTCCTACTGACTTTGTGATGACACGCTGCCTGGTGGTAGGGCTGAAGTGGTTTTGTCACCTTAGCGAATAGTTGCATTTATTTCCAGAGCATTGCTTGGCCCCCTGCGAGTAGATCCAGACTGGCAGAGGTCATGGAGCTGCTGACTGGTCTGGGTGTGCTTCCTCATGGTGTGCACTAAAAGGTCTCCTGCTTAATGTAGGAAAATGAGATTGGACTGTGAACCAAGTGTCTCAAACTCTGGAAATGGATAAATGGCTTAATCAAAATGCAGACAGGTAGAAAAGGCAGAAAATTGTTACAGCTTGTGCTGTTTGAGTGCTCTGTGTAGCTCTTCAATATAAAATCTAGAGGGAGGATGTTGGGAATAAGTGAATGAGGATTTCTTCTCTAACACGTCCCAGTCACTGTGGGGTTGCAACCATCTCTCTCTTGGCCTCCACTTTCACTTGTAAAGGGTTGAAGACCTTTTTGAAGCAGCTTTTTTAGCCCCTTGGTTTGCAGCGAACCTTCTAAATTCGGCTGGAGGTCTGTTTCAAAATACCGTGCTTGTGTCTTGTTTGAAAAAAATATCAAAGGAGTTTTTCATGCTGGAATTTTTTTTTTTTTTCACAGCATGTGAACATGAGCAGGGGTTGTCTTTCCTCCCGCCTTGCATCTCCTCCACCCTAGCACACACGCTCCAAAATAGCAGCAGCATGTGCTGTGCTGAAATGCAGCTGCGAGTCGTGGGAGGCTGGACACCATTAGGTGCCTGGAGGTGCCCGTTTCCCTGGTCTTTGATGCCATGTGAAACAGGAGCTTCACTGCCTTCAGTGGCTTCCTTCACTTCTTGGTTGTTGTAGATCTGCAGCCCAGGGGAGAAATCATCCAACTAAAGGTTTACATCTCAGGCTTTATTGGTAACAAAGGGTGACAAACACCGTTGTTATACATGACGTTTACGTTTATGTTTCCCCTTTTCTTTTCTTCTTTTTTCTTTTTTATTTTTTAACCTAAGAGATAAAGTCAAACATTCTGCCAAGAACTTATTGCAACATTCAAGGCTCTGACTTTAGGAATTGCTAGATTTAAGCTTGGACAGGGATATGTGGAATTGTGGCCCCTGTTGCCTGGTGCTGTGTGTTAGTGCCACGCTCGTGCTGCAGGCATTGCCTCCTGCACCTCACAGGAGGGCAGGCCAGCCTGTCCTTTCAGGCCATCGGGAATAGAGATCAGCTGTTTAATGTCAGCAAGTAAAATTCTGTTAAAATATAGCCTGTTTCAAAACGTGCCTGGGTCAGTGGTGTTTGAGGTGCCGCTGGACTCTGCAGACACGGTGTCTGGGCAGGGCTGTTCAGGAGGGGTCGCACAGAACGGAGGGGCTGTAGCTCAGGGACGTTTCAGGAGCGTTTTTGGAGGTTTGCTCCAGGTTAGGCTGGACTTATGACTCAGCACTCTGTCCGTGCTCCCCAAGTGGCTCACGGCAGTACTGCCAAACAGGGATTAGTGCCTCGCAAAACTCTGCGAGTCACTGCCAGTTGGAAATGCAGGTTCCTGTCCCCAGTTCGTGATTTCACACCTATGCAAAATGTCACTGTGTAGCTTTGCTTTCTGCAAAGGGCACAATAATACACCAGAACAGCCAATCCTCTGCAGTCCTAATAGGAGGGATTCAGACTTGGCCTGGAGCCTAGAGTTGGTTCCAAGCTGTCACCTGTCACTGGCTCAAGTGCATCCCCTGGGTACATCAGAGCTGCAGCCCAAAGGTGTGGCCTTGGCCTGTGTAATATGCTCGGTCCAACAGCGTATCTGCAACAGTGTAAGTGTTCAATATTTAGTATTTAGCCCCAGTCCCATGCAGTTTGTGTAACCTGCAGTACCGTGGTTGGGTGGCTACCACTCCCTGACGAGACATCTGAGCTCCTGCAGATCAGGCTGTATGGAGGGGAGATCTGGACATTGCAGTGCAAGTGTGCAAAGCCTCCTGGATCCCACATGAATGTCCCATTCCTACCAGATACCAGGGGAAGGCTCTTCAATCCAGCAGTCCAGTAATGTTTGGGATGTAAGATCAGTGTTCACTGAGCCTGCAGTTGCCAAGTCTCAGAGCAGGGGTTGAGGACTTGGTCACACACTGCTGCTGGGCCATATAGTTCTGCCTCCACCCCTGTCCTGATCCATCAGGGATGATTGAACACTCCTGCACTGAAGGTATTGGGAGGGATTTAACTCTCATTCTGTTCTGTACTGGATAAATAGGGATTTCTAGTCACTGCCACAGGAACAGGCCATGTTTAAGAATGTAAAATACTGACAGTGTTGTAAGAAGTTGCCTGTTTAGTGTAATAAATATGCATCTTTTAAGCTGAAAATTTACATGCTGTTTTCTTTAAACTCTTAGAGCCCTCCTGGTATTTATTGACAGCAGAATGGCAGTCAGTGCTAGGATTTCCTTACTCTTTGAAGGCTGCTGTGCCATTGGCTCTCTACTTTTCTGCTGAAAAATGTACCAGCCCATGCTTCCCTCTATCTGGCCTGATTCTGAGTAAAATCATTGTTACTGCATTAAATATGACTAAACCTTTGCATCTCTCTACATATTTGAATTTGATTATCAAGTTATAGGCTTAAAAAGAGTATTTAAATAAAAGGCAACTTCCTAAATCTAAACAAATCTAACCCAAAATGTAGCCCAGTTACCAAACAAAATCAGTCCTTCTCTAGTGCAGTTCATGCTATGCTCACTTTTCTTGCAGCTTAGCTAAAATCAAAAACTTATTCTATTAAGTGTTAGTTTATTTGTATACTGAATTATTCTGATTTCACGTGCTCCATTAGTTTTATAATTACTTCAGTGCTTTGCATAGACCCTTCACTTTAAAAGAGAGGTATTTGAAGGAAAATACCTGGAGGCAAAAGCACAATAGTGATGCACTGGGAGTGTCTTACAACACATCTCATTTTTTTGAAAGGTGGAATAAGTTGAAGATTATGCTTCTTTTGAGCTTCCTTAATCTGCTGCTGTCCTGTGCACTAACAGCTCCACTGGGAAAGGGGACAGGAATTGTACATGTGGGGACTAACAGAAACTTGGAGTAGGATGGTTGGAGCACCAAATAACAACTGAGATGTGTGAAGCAGTCAAGGAGGTTTAACTGTATCTTCTGTTAAATTTAATTAATGTATTTAGGTCTCCCAAGA